GTTTTCCACCACGGTGGTCACTCGTCATGTTGCATTGGTAATTTCATTGCGAGTAGTCGGCGGACTGGCCGGTAATACGGCAGCTCACTGCAACAAATTGAATCCAGGAGAGCGGTTTACAACGTACGACCGTGTGATGTGATCGCTCGTAACGTAACTGGTATAGAAAATTCCAGAAAATGCAGAAAAAAATGGATTACAAATGAATCTTAAATAACAAACACAAATTTATTTATTATTGTTATGTAAGATTTTGTTCCACAATAAGTACTACTTCAAACATGGTCAAATCAGTTATTTTAATTTAAAAGCTAAACTACTTAACTGATTTTGATACAATTTTGTATGGAATCGATCTAAAAGGATCTTAATATTTTATATTATGTTATTATTCATATTGTTAATATCTTTACTTATTTAATGGCATTTAATAATTTAAATCTATTTTAATGTTTATCAAACACAAGGCATGCTGTGGTTGCCTATAAATGTAAGAAAAGTTAGATCTAACTGTTCTTACACCAGTGTATTGTATTGAAATATTTAACTGTATCTTATGTTGGTAATCCTATAAATAAATAAATAAATATCCTTTCAGTTAAAAAAAAAAGAATTTTCCAAATCGATTTATAAATGAGGAAATTCTGAAATAATAAACATAAAAATTGTTATGTTCCTTCTTTGAACATAAAATATGTACAATTACATTGAGAAGTTCCTCAGTTTTTGAAGTGTCATTTTTAAATTCCCAATCAGACCAATTAGGAAACGTACTTTTCACAATTGACTCAAGTTTAGGTGTTCTGGGTTGTGCTTCCAGACATTAGTTTTATAGTTCCTCATAACTTTAGATTCTGTGGCATTTCTTATTATTATTGATGATGATAAATGATTTGAACATGTATTATATGTAGTATTATTGATTAATTGGAGAACTGTGTTTGTGTTTACAATAAATAGCGTGTTGGTTACGTTGGAGACAGAGTAATGGTAGCAATTAAAGGACAGAAGAAGAAGGGCATTTTATTTGGGTTGAAGCAAATAAAAAAGTACCTAAATTTGGCAGTAACAATGTGGTAACTAATTGATGGTAATGGCACACCACTAAGTACTCATATTCATGTTTTCATCCCCACCATCTTACGTACCATACTCAAATAAAGAACACATTCTAAATGTGCTGATTACACCAAGTTACTGTGTATAGCAACAAGATTTGTTTAAGTATTAATTATATTTAAATAGATAGTTAATTGCAGTTGTATATTGTTCTTTTAAAATAAACTTTTTATTTCTATATGTATTATATCGTGGTCGTCACGTTTACGTCTCTTGTAGATCGTTGGTGGTCCTTTAAAAACTGCCAGTAATGCCTTTTTGGGAGCGAGTGTGTGCCGCCTCGTTTTATTCCACTGATATTTGTTGAGGCAAATAATATAATGTGCCACATGTTGCTTTTGGGACTGAAACGAATAAAATTTTATGTTGTAGGCATGGGATATACAAAACGTATAAGTAATATATGTAGTTACCATAACTATAGATGGTGAAACCGAAACCGTTGACGCCCTTTTAATGAAGTGTTAAAATGGACAATTTAATTTAATTTAAATTTTCTCTTTAAATTTTCCTTCACTCGAGTCTGTAGAATAAACTCCCTGCTCTGGGTTTACAGTTTAGGGTTCTTCAAAAAGGGTGTATTAGGGTTTCTTGCCTGCCTGCAACACCTTTTTTTTTTTATACAACTTAGAATGACAAACTGACAAACAAGCTGAAGGCCCACCTGATGGAAAATGGAAAGTGGTAACCGTCGCCTATAGACATGAGTAGTACCGTGGACATAACAGAGTATACTGTTTCGCCCATGATACCCCCCATGCGTTGCCATTCCTGAGGACTCAGGTGTTATTCCTCTGTACCCAGTACATTCACGCCATATCCCACCCTTCAAACCGAAACACAGCCATGCAGTCACAACTGCTTTACGGTTGAAACACGAATGGGACAGAGATACTCAAGCAATCGACTTTTGTACAAAGTCTTCCTCTAGTGTTTCAGGCGTCTATAAGCTACAGAGACCGTTTACAATCAGACGGGTTGTATGATTATTTGCCATCTTCGTGGTATAATTTTTTTAAGAAACGTGAGTCGACAAAATAACACTTCAGTTATAATAGAAGGGAGTGTTTGATTGGGTGATTGATGATTAACATGGATGATGATTGTAGAACTTATGGTAACAATAATATTAGTCAGTCTTCGAGCATTGGCACTCACACTTATACTAGCGGGGTACTAACATGGTAGCGGAATTAAACAAAATAATTCTAATCAAATAACCACTTATATGGACTTCCATAAAGTAACACTTAGTTTAATAAAAGAGATAACTAAGGTAAATTACCGTAGGTTACCTAAAGGATGGTAATGATTTTGATTTCATCCTGTAACTTCAACATTACAATAATGCTCAATAGCATTATGATTTCAATAAATAATAGGTATCCAGCGACAGCTAGATTAAAGCTCCAGATTCAATTCCGTCCTCACATCGCCTCCAAATCCCACTGCGAAATACTTTATTTAGCACCTTTCAGCCTTTAGCTGGTGTTTTGCCAAGCCGTAAAATTTACAGTTGCATACTGTTTTATTTGACGCCATAGTTCCCAATACATGTTATTGGCTTATTGGTGAAGTGAAGACAAATAATAGTATATTAAAATTGAAATTTATTTTGTGTCGGTTACAATGTTGTTGTGCAACTATTATTATCTACTTACGTATAATGAATTTGGCTCATGTGCGCTCATAACCGTAAAACTAGTGATTAAATTTATAATATAAGAATAAATAATGTATAATAAACAGTTGTCGGATATAAAAAATATAGTAAGTTTATAAAAGTCCCCACTCATCATGTATAAATCATTTGTATTGTATTGTAAAATCTTTATTGTACATAATTCAAATTGAGCACTGATAAATGATTTAATATATAATGGCGGACTTATTCCATAAAGGGATCTTTTACAGTCAACTTTTGAGAAGCTGAAAGAAAACTATAGAATGTATAATTAATAATAAATAATAATCATCATCATCGTATCAGCCATTAACTGTTCACTGCTGAAGATAAGCCTCCCCCTTAGAGGGTTTGGCCTTAGTTGCTATGCTTGGTAGGCGGATTGGTAACCGTAGTTAGAACTTGAGATGTTTTAAAAATAACGCTGCTGCTCATACCTCAACCTCCTGGAGAGAAAGGGATTGTTAGTAATGGAGACTGAGAATCCCATTGCTAGCAATATACCCAACCAGGTCGACCTCCTCGCGGTTCTCCCTGGAAACTATCATGGTTAATTCCTGATGAATTCATTATGATGTGCTAACTAGCCTGTTTTCATTCTCATCTATCACCCTTCACTGGTGCTCCGCCAGCGTATCCCGTTAGCGCAGGCGGAGTTACCATACCATTTTCACCCATCAAAAAAAAACCTCAACCTCTTTAGTCGTCTCATACGATACCCACGGGAAAGAAAGGGATGGGCCATTTTATGACGGGACCACACGGCCATATATTGACATCAATAAGTAATCTGGCATTACTGCTTGTCTTCCTCCTGTGACAAAGGTTACTAGGTCGCTGTTGTTAAAAACGAAGGCTTTTAATGTGGCTTACTAGACGTAGCAGGTGGTAAGTGGTACAAATTTAAAAAATCCAAACATGAAATTAAAAAAGATCAAAAATTTTGGCTGAAATTCGATTATGCATCCCCCGGACTACAGTCAAACTTTGTCCAACTGAAATACATGCTGTTTAATGATTACATAGTTCGTATGTTACTTTATATGATACTATTTTACTAAGATAAAAATCTCTTTCTCATGGGGAAAATACAAAAATTTGAGACCAATCCAAAACAAAAAAGAATTTATCAAAGGATCATTGAAATCAATTCATATAAAACTACCTGTAACTTACACCCAAAGTTATACCTATTATTAAATAAAATTATATCGAATTGCTTCCTTCCTTATAATATTTTTTATACGTGAAGTTTCTTTTATTTTAAGTAAATATAAAAAAAAAGTTAAATTTTTGTTTTTAGAAATATTAAATTGTATAGAGGCAAAACTTAGAGGTCGTAAAAATGTGAAAACAGCCTAGAACTGCAACCAGACACGAACACGTTAAATTGTGAAGAAATACTACTTTCGGCTGCTTTGTTCGCGCGCCGGAAGGATGGAACTTGTGTGCGGATATTTTGTTTTATTGTTGTCTTCTATTGGATTTATTTCTTTTGTTCTATAATTAATTTAAACACCTAAAAGGTAGAGTTGTTTTTAGTTTATTTTTGCATAAGACATTATCATTAGCGCATTAAAGGTAAGTGGGTTGGACAGAGATAATCTCTATCCGTCCTACTCATATCATATATTATACAGAGCATTGAAATTAATCTACAACAATATCGATGTACATTGGCTACCAACGCCCGAGCAAATGTAATAACTCCAAAATGCTTAGTAGTAGTATCCTACCAGAGGGAGACTTTGACAAAATCGTTTGCTTTGTTTTCCCATTTGTGTTTCTACATTGAAGCAGTTATGTTTGCATGGTTGAATTTCAGTTTGAAGGGTGGGATATGGCAGTGAATTTACAGGGTACAGAGGAATGACACCTGAGTCCTCAAGAATGGCAATACATGGAGGGTATCATGGGCGAAACAGTATACTCTGTTATGTCCATGGTATATGCCACGGTATATGCTCATGTCTATAGGCGACGGTTACCACTTTCCTTATATATATATATATATATATATATATATATATATATATATATATACCTATGTTTTTTTACTAAGCAGTTGTACTTATTTGGCTGCGTTTTAGTATATAAAAAGTGGAAAAACTAATGTAGAATCTTCTGTATATTAAATATTTAATCCCAGACTTGAACTTTCCGCAGTATTTCAATGTGAAAATAGATTAAAAATTCTTTCAAACTGAACTTTCAATGATTGGAGAGTAAAAACTTATTCCAATTATTTCTTCTGTTAGGTTTTCGAGAATCCAGAAAGACGTAACAACCAAAGTTACTGGCGCTTCTACCTATTAGTCTATGAACCAAACTCAGTCAAACTTTATGAGCGATATCCGATTATTTTTCAACTCTTTACCATTGGGAGCTGCTCGTGCCGGCAGTTCGAGGCTGCTACTAAATTGCATTATCTACTATTCGTGACCAACTTCTATTGGGAATTTTCAACTGCATTTTAGTAGAGTGGATTGCAAATTAACAATGCAACATTGTTCAGTTTTGGATATTAATGGTAAATTTAATTTTTATCTGTCTATTTTCACACCGAGCGTTTTTAGGGTAGCAAAAACTGAGTGTTAAAGAGTGTAACTGTGCATAGTCTCCACTAGAGAACCTTGCTTTTTTATTGGTTATCGGTTCTTTGGGCTATAAGACCGGGCTGTTGCCACTTCAGCATATTCTGTGGGTTAGATTCTTTTGCGAATTTCCTCATTACAGATCAGAGAAACACTAAGTATAGCTCTCAGATACCATACTACTGAGGTATGGTACCTGAGAGTTATACGCGGAGTTTATAGAATCAGTTATTTATAGTTGGCTATATATAAATGTTACCGTGTAGTCCCGGCATAGAATAGGTTACGCCTTCCTTTTTCGTGGATGTTGTAAGAGGCGACTAAGGGAGGACAAAGGATGGGCAGCAGCAACATTCTTAAAACATCTCCAAAGACTAACTGCGGTTGCTAATCCGCCTGCCATGCATGCGTAGCAACTACTGTCAAACGGTGAGATATGGCAGTGAAATTATAGGGCACAAAGACATAACATCTTAGTTCTCAGGAATGGCAACGCATGAGGGATACCATGAGTATAACAGCATAATCCGTAATGTCCATGGTGTTATTCGAGTCTACAGCGACGGTTACCACTTTTCATAGCATGGGCCGTCACCTTGTTTAGCATTCTAAGTGTCATGAAAAATCACATAAGTCTAAGTATTCTTAAATGATAATCCATAATTATAATTAATTGAACTACTAAACTAACACTTATATGTTTTCGTTTCAGGTACAACTTGATACTCATCGTCTACATATCATGTTGTTTGATATTCAGAGTGAGTAAGGTTTTGAATAGTAATCACAAACACTTTATGTCTGCAAGAGACAGTTGCCACTTTTCATCGACTGGCCCAGTAGCTTATTTGTCATTCCGAATTGTATAGAAAAGAGAGACAAAAAGATGTTAAAAAAAAGTATTGGTTTTTGTACACTACCTAGAATATACCTACACTCACGCGGACGAAGCCACGAGATACAACTAATTAAGGTCCATTTGGTTTTTTATAGTTAAAAGTTTCGTAAGCATACATTATATTTTAATATAATAACTACTGATTTAATTTACGCATAATTAGTTCGAGAAAGCTCGACTGGTTTCGGGATCAATTCCTAATCCTTAATCATGAGCAGCTGTGACGCAATCATCGTAATAGATAAGAAAAACGGTGTTCGGAACACTTTGGGTATGAACGGCTTGGCTTCTAGGTCTTCCTCTTCGTCTGAGGTGTTATTTCCACTGTTTTTTTTAAGGGATGATAATGGAATGGTAGCCCCGCCTACGATGTTGGTATACATTGATGGGGCACCAGTAAAGGATGATAAATGAAGATGAAGCAGGTCAGTCAGCCCATCGAGAAAAATTCACCAATGAATCAATCACAATCGTTTTCAGGGGGAACCGCGAGGAGGTTTATTTGTGTTTAATTACACTTAAATTAAACCGGTAGTTATTACAACTGGTTTTTGATCAAGAGTAAACTACTGCATACTTTATAGTTGCAACGCTGGTGATCTTTCAGGTATTAATTATATTCATGGATATAGAAATGGGACTTCGAATAACAAAAAAAGTGACGGCTCGTCTGATGTAAAGTGGTAATAAATAATCTTTTTCTTTAGATATGAACACAAAACTGTCTTATAAAAAAAATCGTATAATTCCACCTAGTCATCATCACTATATAATGCTATAGATACGTAGGTATATCATACCAAGAACCAATCCTTCAGATCCTTTCATTTTTACCTGTACCTTGCCTTTATCACAAAATCAATATTCTAAGTGACCCAAAATTTATTCCGACAAGGAAATAGAACTTTAACATAAAAAAGCAATAAATCTAACCAGTACCTATTGGGACTTGAATACTTAGTCGGCTTAAAAGCTTACGACCCCGAAAAAGCAAAACAACAAAGCCGAGACGAAGTGTTAGCGTTCATATACATATAATATTCATGGGCGCGTCACCTTGAACTGAAGTACCTTATATTCTAAACTGAATATTTATTATAATAACTGTTGGTGTGAGGCACATCATAAGGGCATGTACAGGTATTAATACTCGTAATTCTTCAGTTAGTAGACTATAATGTCTTTTACGAGACTTTAAAAAAGATGAAGAGAAATGAGGTCTGTCGTTGATATTTCGACTCGACCCACTGAAATTGCGCAGAAATCTTTGAATCTCTGTGCATTGTCTCTACCGAATTTATCATAGGGAGTGTTTTGAGGATTTGTTCGGATTGGTACCTGCTGCTGTTTTTTACCATCGTCCAACACGCCACAAACTAAATTTCCATCCCAACCATCTGGACGAGTGACGGTCTTCCACCGTGCGTTTTTCAAGGTACTTTCTTCTACGAACAACCACTCTTTGGAATCAACTTCCAGCAGCATTATTTCCGAACTATCATAACCTTCAAGAACAGAGTATATTCATTTTTAAAAGGCCGGCAGCACACCTGCAATGTTACCAGGTGAGCTGTATGCTCGTTTGTTCCCTTTGTTATAAAGAAAAATATTTTTAGTGGATTCCAATTATGGATTTTTAATTCGATTAATTTTTCACCATCACTATCATATTAGTCGTTATTTGTCCATTTCTGAACATAGGCTTCCCCCATAGACCGCTATAAAGAACGGTCCTAAGCCAGCCTGAGCCTACATCCCTTGATTCTCTGCTAGATTGATCCATTTTTAATTGGATTTAATTTTATATGTTATAATATGTACATAGATGATATTTTCCATGATTTTGATGGTTGTCCCTTAACCAATGTCAGAAAAGAAGTTTTCAATTCAACTGTATTTTGCACTGATTTATTACGATTCTTTTTTTTTTGTAATTCATTCAACAATAATTTTATCCCGACTGAACTTTTTGTGGATAAAATTTAAAATTATTTAGCAAAAAAGAAACTTATTTCCAATTTTACACTTTTTATAAACTGTGCCTAGTTGGTTTTTTTTTTTTTGTTAGTAATGATTTATGTTTAAAGTAAAAAATGACGAAATTTATTAAATTTTAAAGCAATTACAAATATATCTAGTATACAGTCTCCCTCTGGTAAATAGATATAGAATATCTCATTAAATTCTCATCAGAAATATGCATCTGTCAATCAATTAAACAACGTATTGTTTATATTATTTGCAAAACAGTTTCAACTAGTTTGAAATTAAGTTATTTGTATGGCAGATACCTGTCTACGGTCGAAAACGAACTTCAAATAACTAATTAAACAATTGTCAAAATTGTATAATGAATAGTGTATTTGTTTCGTTTTCAAATAATTGATTTATGGCCTGGAGAGAACTTTGTGGCTTTAACAATAGAATATTCTAGTAGGTATTTTATTGTACAATGTTACAACTAGAATGCTGTGTAACATTAAGCCCGTACTCTGTACGACTAAACATTTTTTTGTTAGGAATTGAGTTTGACAGCCCCATTGCTAGCAATATGCCCTATTAGGTCGACCTCCACGTGGTTCCCCGTGGAAACCATCGAGAACAATTTTTTGTGGAATTTGTCACGATGGGCTAACTGACCTGCTTCGTCTCTCACTGTATTGTATATTGGTGGTTACCGTTCCATTATAACCCATTAAAAAATCTATTAGACGTCTTACTGTAGGGCTCTGTCTCTCATAAGACACAGATAGCAATATATGTATTTATAAAAGAAATTTATTTAAATTGTATTGTAAATATAAGTTTATTTATAACTAGCAACCTGTCCCGGTTTCGCACGGGTTCTTTACAGAAAATATAAAATAGCCTATGTTACTCTGAGAAGAGGTAGCATTCGATTTATTTCGTTGCACATTATTTTGATTTTGTTACTTTTCTTAATTTACACGGTGTAAAGAGAAAACATAATCTTCATAAAATGTTCAAACTAACCAAGTTTTTTAAATAATAAGGATTAATTGTGTAAATAGCTTTCCAATTACCACTTTATAATTGCTAATTTTTTAAAGTATTAAAATGAATATAGTATCTATTATTCTAAATAATAGAATAACCGAATTAAAAAAGAGGGATATTCTCAAATCGGTTATACTTTTTTTATGTTTTTTGCCTCGTAACTCCGTCAGATGTAAACTTATTTAAAAATTCCTTTTTTATTTGAAAAAATATACTTACAGATTGCTCCCATAGAAATTTAAATAAAATCTGTTCAATAGTTTAGTTTTTAAATCAAATTAACTAGTTTTGTCTCAATTGCAGTCGGTTATTTCGTAGAACATAAGCGTATATTTTAATATGTAGGTGTGTAAATAAAATGCATAAAGAAACAGACACAATACATCTTTTCTGGTTCTCCGAGTGAGAAAGAACAAGAGAGCCAGGGGAAATTTTAATTACGTTTACATACTTTTGGTGGGAAAACAAAATGCAAGTATTTAGCAATTTTTCACAGCGGCCTCTGGCTGCAACTCGCCGCTCGTTTAATTTAATGGACTCACTCCGTACATTTTTCAAGTGCATTGTGTCTTTTCTTTTGTTGTTTTTATTGCAGTTTTACTCGGCGGATAACTGTTTACTGGAGTATTCATAGAAGTCTGTGTGACTACGAATTTATAATTTAGTTGCAGGTTTCCCTTGATATATCCATATCAAGGAATTTTGCATTCTTTTATTTTGCCTGCATTGTAATATATAACATATTACATTTATGTTTCATTTATTTATTTATTTATAAATAAATGAAAATCTACTCGGTCTCTTCTAACCATGGTGGTTTAATTTCTGGTGAAATAATTACATTGGCTCAAGTAATCTAACTGTAAGTGACTGAACACTGGTCACGAGGTTAAGTTTCCATTTCCATCCATTACAAAAACCCCTTTGTTATCCATTAAAGACATTCTATAAAAAAGATATTTCCATTAATTCAAAGCAGTCTAAATCGAACACATTTTTAATTCTTAATAAAAACAAACTTCTGACGCCCTTCAAAGTTATAATGTCGGTAGACACATATTTTGATATACTAGTTGTTATTATTATCCGTAGAGAAATAAAAAATAACATCGCGTGACAAACGGTCATATATTCGAAACGAATTGGTCACGGTCCCCCTTATTCGTCGCGAAGAACGAGGAACATTTATGCTATTAACATTTGCACCAGCGAATACTTCTTTCAAATAACCTGTATAGTAGGGGTAGGTAATATATAAGAATGGTTTTTATTATATTATTATTTATTATAATAAATATATTTTGATTACAATATACATATGTATACATTAACTCAATAACAGATATGTTAAACATCTATTCTCTAATATACAATATCGAAATAATGAACCTAGTTAATATGAATATAAAATTATTATTATTATTCTTATAAAATACTAATGATTACACATCACGCGCGCGCACTCACACACTTACACACACACGCACGCACGCACGCACGCACGCACGCACGCACGGACGCACGCCCGCACACACACGCGCACACGCTTGTGAAGGCACTGGCTCCTGACATAGAGTTAACCCTAGTTTGCGAGTCAGAACTACATGTAATTGTATTGTACTTGTATATACCTAGTTCAATTAAAAGATTATAATTATAGATATCTGTAATTGAGATATCGAAATGGATAATGACTTTTTTTCAATATATGTTTGTTGTATATTTGTCTGTTTACTGTATAGATAATTTGGTAGTATTATTTTATTGTTCGCTTTGGCCCCAACAGAATATCAGTGCTTTGCTCTTTTGTGGGCGAAGCAATAAACTGAGTTGTGACCATTTTGTATTGTTATGGCACACGCACAAAAGAAAAAATTGTATTGTATTTTTTTTTAATCATTTATGTTATCTCCATTTTTATGTATATGTTATAATTTGTGTGCTGTAAGTAATGCAAATAAATTATCTATCTATCTATCTATAACTCAATCTATACATAGATATCGGTTCAGTACCAATGATACCCATGCTTAGTGTATAGTTAACTCATAAACGAATTTCTTTTTATACTACTTAGAATGGCAAACAAGCTGTCGTCCCACCTGATGTAAAGTGGTAACCGTCGCCTATAGATATGACCATGGACATAACAGAGTATACTGTTTCGCCCATAATACCCCCCATGCGTTGCCATTCCTGAGGACTCAGGTGTTATTCCTCTGTACCCTGTAAATTTACGCCATATCTTACCCTTCAAACCGAAACACAGCCATGCAGTCACAACTGCTTTACGGTAGAAACACGAATGGGACAGAGGTACCCAAGCAATCGACTTTTGTACAAAGTCTCCCTCTGTGACTAGTGATCAAGTAAAATTTATTACTCACTACAATCTTGCCCGCTACAACCTACGCGTGGATTTTAGAAATGGGAAATGTAATTTAACCCACTTCTGGATGACGTATCACGATAAAACTTTCACCAGATTTGAAGTTAGAACTTCAGGAATATTAATGTGGATACGGTATCCAATTTTGTTCAGTAGTTTTTGTGTGATGCCGGAACAAACAAGCAGATATAATTAAAAAAAAATAATATTTTGGATTCATTATTTCGTACAGACATCTTCTAATTACAATTTTATTATATTGATTGTTATAAAAAA